GTATGTCTTTGATTCAAACACCTAAGTCAGGGCTATTCAATTAATTTGCTCTGTGGGCCACAGTTACTGCAGGCCAACAGCTGAGGGGCCAAACATCCAGCCATTAAAGTCATTATGTAAATAAATCAAGTATTACGAAGATCTGTTACCTTTGAATTAGTTTACTTTGCTGCATTTAATCATGAGTACAACATGGAGCCCAATGTCATAAAAGTAGCGATATTAAAAAAAAATCAAAAACAGCTGACACAAGTATTATTTATGACATATTTACCTCGCCACGTTTTTATTTTTACTTATCTTAATTTTGTATTCTCCTGCTTTTTTTTTAACCAGCTGTTGGGCAAGTTTCTGACATTTCTGTATACCACACATGTCTTTGTTTAATTTAAAGAATTTATAATTAAAGTAGAAAGCCTTGGGCTTAAGAACCAATGAAATTAATTGGTGGGCCGGATTTTGGTCACCAGTGGGCCTGATGTGGCCCAGTGGCCTCCAGTTGAATGGCCTAAATGATTACTTTTCTCCAGTGAATCCTCTTGTCTTTCCTCATCTGTCAGATCCTTGTTTGTTTACTCCCCTGACCATCATTATGCACTGTGAAAAAGCCTGCTGGAAAGTGGGGGTCCTGTTTGTATGTTTACATCGGGTGTTCTCTCTCTTTTTCTCTCCCTCTCTTTTTTTTTCAGTTGCAAAGCAGATTACGGTCCATGTTGCAACACAAAGCGCTGTCAATGCATCACTTCCTGCAGCCATCCAGAGGTGAAAGGGGGCGCAGGACGGGGTCCACTCCGGGGTTCCTCAGCGCAGGTGCGACATGCATAAAAAAAAAAAACAGTCGGGCTGTAAAACATGGCGCACTGGAGAGGGAGGGGGCACATACCTGTCCTCATTAACCTGCAGCCGCGCGTAATGAGCGGAGGGATTTACATTTTGGTTAATTTAAATAAAGCATGGTGAAAGAATGAACTGCGTGTTTGCAGCAAAACGACCCGTTTGAGCAGCTGATCGATCATAAGAACACGTGGGGGGGGGGGGGGGGGAATAAAGAAAACACAAAGCCAAGAAAACTGTCAAACAGCCTGTGTTTCTCTGCTCAGGTTTTGTATTTCAGCCCTTGAGGAAGGTGTCGTTCTGGTGCCAGAGCCTGACCTCAGGGCCAGCCTCTGCTGCTGACATCACCTCCGCGTCTCTGCGCCTCAGCCTTTGGAGTCCCATCAGGGTCTGCGCGCGTCCCGCTGTGACCGAGGGCGATGCCTCAAACACCAGCCACCCTCAGGACGCGACACAAGCTCCGCTCCCCGGGACGACTTGATTTTTTTCCCCTCTCTCTCTCTCTTTCCCCCCCCCCACTATTATCATTTCCACAGCTAGCTGAAAGTCCGAGCAGTGATGGCAGATGAGAGCCGGGGGAAGCGCAGGAAACAAGCCAACCCGAGGAGGAACCGAGGTAGGAGAAAAAGTTTGGAGTGAAGTTGTTCAGGGATGCGGTGGGAAGATGTTGCTGCAGCGGGAGAAACAGCAGCAACACAACTCGTGTAGACATGTTTTTTTTATTTTATTTCTTAAACTTTAAACACTGTTATCTGCTTGGAGACACAGAAATGATGTTTCTGTCGCGTTTGGGTGCAGGACACAGATAAGCAACTTTTTTCTTCTACTTTTGGTCACCTGAACTCAGTCGGACATGAAAATGAACTAATTTCATCAAAAATCCTCAAATACTGCAGCACTTTTTTAAAACTTGCAACCCTAATTGTTAAATAAACTCATGAAAAATGTATATTTTAGTTTTTTAAAAAATTGTCATTTAGAGAAGTTAATGTCGTTTTATTTCTCTCTTTTTTATTTTAACTTTTATTGCTGCCAAAGATTCTCTAGAATTTAATATTTCTAGGCTTTCTGCCTTTTTTTTTCAGATAATATGTTGCTGCTGCTCTGCAACAAGATGTGACGTGTTTTCCATCAGCTTTTTTATTAAAACTGAATTGGACTAACACTAGAAAAAAAACTCTTAATTCTCATCAATCTGGATTTGTCAAATCCCTAATAAAAATCAGGCTACACCGATAATAAAAAAGAGTCAAATTCAAAATATGTGCACTCACAATAAGGATGTTTTTTATCAGAATTCAAAGGTGGACAGATTTACAGGTATGTTTTTCCTTTAAGACTTCTTAGTTGATTTGGTCAACTTTAAGACTTCAGGTATCATCAGTTATTTGTTAGTGAGAAAACACATCCTACTGAAGTTCTGAGAGGAACTAGAGACCGTGCTTATATGCTTAAAACCTTCGTGTTCTGCGTGTGTCAAGCTGTTTGTTCACAAGAAGAGGTAAAAGTACACACACCTGTGAGATGTTTAAAACAATAACTTCTATCCCAAATGATAAAACTATCACATTATGTCAGAATTTTACTTTTAAAGTTTCCACTTCAAATGGAAATTCTATTCTAAGTATGTCACATTTTTCTAAATAATGCTTTTATTATTAAGGGGGATGAATGATGAGCGTCAGCGACGTCCTGCTGGTCGCATTTGAAATTAAGTTAAACAGTCTGGACTTTGCAATTTTTCCTTTTTTTTGCTTATAAGTCCGCTTTCTGTTTCTCAAGAGCCATCCGTGCTCTTTAGGTTATCTCTTTACTCTGAAAAAAAATCACTTTAATGTTATAAATTGCCTGCATTGCATCATTTTGTTCAGAAAGATGTGAAACTAAGCGGAGTGTCAGCAGGGTGGGAACCTCTCTAACTGCTCAGCATTAATGGGGCCCTCGTGCTCATGTGTACACACACACACACACACACACACACACACTCTCACCTTTGACTGTCACATAGCAGTTTGTCGACCGGACATCTCATAAATCAACAGCGTCACACCTTCCCGACAGCTAAACGGCTCTCTAACTGACCTTCTAACTTATCAGATGACTCAGGAGGACAGTTCAGATCCTTCAATCCTGCAGCATCAAAGGAGAAAAAGCATCACGTGCATGGGATGGTGGGAGTTTAAAGAACAGGACATGTTTTTAAAAAGTGAGCACGGGGGGAACAAAAAAAGGGAAAACTAAAAGTGAGTGAAGCTGAAAATCTAAAACTGCCCACGTTTTTTTTTTCTGGTGAACCTTACATTAGGTGTGAGCTGATATGGAGAACATGTGTTACGCGTGCGTTAGGCAGTATTAAACGTTAGTGGGTGTGTGAAGTTATGTGCATGTATGCATCACGGCCTCGTGTAGAAATGTGTGTTTAAGCTGCGTGCAGGATTTGGAATGTGACTTTAAAGATTCTTGATAAAACCAAATAAATTTGGCAGTCTTGACTCATAAGACGAGGATTTGTGGGGACTTTTTTTTTCCAAACCAGAAGAAAGGCGAAAACTATAGTCTGAGTTTTCTTCTCTCCTCAAGGCGCCTATTGATTGTGTCTCTGTCTCTTCCTATAAAAATGTCTATGTTCAGCAATATAGAGCAATGTGAGGAAATTACAACTCCAAATTCCAGGCAGATTGGAAACAGTTCTCAGATCAAGAAAGGAAACACAAAGGTTTGGGAAAGAAAAACAGTATTAAGTGGCCAGAACAATCGTTCAAATGTGTGCTTCATTAGCACTGACAGTTCACAACGTCTCCTGTGATACAGTAATTCAAGTGCTTTTCTTTTTTTACGAAATGCAATTTATTGCACAACTAAAATACTGCATGGAAGAAAAACTACCCCCAAAATTAGTTGAATAAATAAAATTTATAATGAAACCACACAAAAAAAATTATTTTCTGTGAAAATGCGGTGTGAATGCTGAATGACTGAAGTTTAAAATTAAACTTTTAACAAGCTACATTTTAGGTTGTAACAAGCTAAAACAAGCAAAACACTTTTAAGCTAAAAAGAGCAAAAGGCTACCTTAAAACAGAAATAGCCAGTGTAGCCGTTTAAAGTCACAAAACACTAGCCGAAAGTAACAAAATGCTAGATTAAAGCTAAAAGTATCAAAACACTGGCTAAAAGTAGTCTTTTAAAAAGCTAGCAGGAAGCTAAATGTAGCAACCAGCTGATTAAAAGTTCCAAGTACCAAAAGTGTAGCATAAAACTAAACTGTAGCTAAAAGCTAATAGCAATAGCTATCTACAAGTAGCAGAACAGTAGCTAAAAGCTAAACTGTAACAAAATGGTAACAAAAAGCTAAAACAAACACATAAAGCAAGTATGCTGAACTTCAAAAATATGTATATTTTAAAGGAAATAAAGAGATTTTCATGCATTTCTTTAAGGAAATAGTTGGAAACAAAGGTGAATATTTTGAATTGTATAAAAGTTACAAAAAAACAACAAATAGGCTATCATCTCCTGAATTAACAAACAATTTTGTTGTGTGAGTGGCCAAAAGTGCACAAATTAAATTTAGCTAGAATTCAAAAGTGTACAGAAAAGCTAAAAATAAATAAATAAATAAATAAATAAATAAATAAATAAATAAATAAAAGGGCAGGAAAACAATGCTGACTCAGCGCTCACGCAGTTTTTTTTTTTTTTTTGAAGAAAATCATGAGAAACTTATTTCGGCACTTTCAAGCCAGCTTTCATGTAGCAACAACAAGCAACACTGATGTTCTCTCTCTGTCTTAATGGATTTCACAATAAGCTCTTTGTGGTGCCGTATCTCTATTCACTGTTAGAGGAAAGCCTTTTTTTTATTGCATATTTCCCCTCTTTGCTGATTTATTTCTTCTGTTCAGTTTATGAGCTCTCCCATGATCAGAATCAGTTTGACCAGAGTGAGATCCGCAGAACTGATCAGATCCCTTCAAACCTTTAGAATCCAGTGTCTGTGTTTTATGTGCATCCTTACAAGCTTTATCTGTTTCCCGTTTGTCTTCCACGTGATGTTTTGTTGCTCGATTAAAGCCCTCGCTCTGTTGTCGAGTGTCTTTTTAAGAACCCACTTTTTATTTCTGTTTCCATCACTCTCTTTCTATTTTTTTCTCTTTCTTTTTTCAAGTGCCAATTTATTTAAACTCCTTTCCCCTTTTCTTCTTTCTCCTTCATTGATTTCCAAACCCCGAGTCTTTGTATGCAGCTGGGGCCCAGCTGTGTGTCTGTGACTGTGCGTGTGAACGTGCGCACATGCGTGTGTGTTTGTGCGGACTTTTTTTGGCACACTGCTGCCACAGTGAGCATAGCACACTGTACACAAAGGACTCGAGCATCAAAAAAGAGAAGGGGGTGGGGGAGAAGGGGAATGCGTTGGATCGCTAAAAACCCACAGTCTTCCACTGTACAGAGTGGATGGGCTGGGCCTTTTCCGACTGATCCCGCTGTAATGAGAAATATGGATGAGGGGTGGGGGGACAGCAATGAAGAGCTTAGGCACCACAGTTTATTACCAGAACTCTTCAGGCGTCAGAACCAGAGGGTGGGGCGAGGGTGGGGGGCCACGAGAAGAGAGGAGGATGACAGAGTTGATGGAGTTGACAGAGCCGGGGAGTGAAAACGGTATTTTTGGAGGATAAGGCAGAGACGTGCGACAGAACGTGGGATAATCACTGACTTTTCCTCACTTGTTCCCACAGATTTCTCCCGACGTGGGCCTGTGTGTGTTTAGAGCCGTGTCTCCACAGCAGCTAAAAGGAGTCCCTTGATTGAGTCTTTTACCCTCACCATGTTTATTTAATTACCGCTCGTTCTGATGTCTCAGATGCAGCCGAGGCAGTTCCATTCCATACTGTCTGTTCTGTGCACAGCCGCCTTTACAGTGGGAATTATTATCGCCTGCTGCGTGGAAGATAAAAGGCACGGCAATGATGTCGCCTGTGTGAGTGCATGTGCTTGTCTGTTAGCAAAATATGTCGTGAACCACTGGACAGATTTTAACAAAAACCTTTGGACATTTGGAGTCACCGCTCAACCTTAGCCAATACAAAACTCCTGATAATTCAGTAAATTTACTGTAAAACTGCAGTGTGAATGTTCAATACTCAAATATTTTTGCTGAATAACTAAAAAAGCTGAAACTAACCTAAAAACAACTTTAAAAATTTAGCTGAAGTTAGCACAAATAAAAAGAAACATCACATTTGTTTATATAAGTAAGCTGACATTATCACAAAAAAGTGATTTTAGCTTAAAAAGAGCTCATTTTATCTAAAAAGTATCTATAAACACAAAACAGCTGAAATTAGAAGACATCAGCTGCAAAAAAACAAACAAAAAAGTTAAAATTAGCATAAGAATAACTAAAAAGGTCAGAATGAGAGCTGAAGTTGTAAAAAAGAAGCTAAAATCAGCAAAATAGAAGCCAAAGGAAGCTGAAACTGGAAGTATAAAAAAGCAAACCATAAAAAAGTAAAAGTACAGTAAAGCTTTATGATTGTTTTGAAGGGTTTTAAAGATGGTTAAAAACTGCTCCGTTCATTTTCATTAAGGAACAACATGGCAGAAATATCTCAT